GACTCTGGGACTAGAACTTAAACGATGATGTTTGGCAAACTGACAAGATTTACAATCTAATGAAGATAGACTAGAAAACTGAGGATGAGGTTTCTTTAACACAGGCAACGAAGGATGACCAAGCCGACAATGTACTTTAAAAGGGTTGACAATTCCAGAACACGCAATAGACTTTGGTGTTTGTGTATCAAGAACGTATAGGCCTCCAGACTCACGTCCTTTACTAATAATCTTCTTCGTCATAAGATCCCGAAATTTACAAAAATTAGGATAGAACGAGACACAACAATTAAGAGAGCGAGTGAGCTTACTGACAGAGACTAGATTAAAAGACAAGTTAGGTAAACTCAAAACAGAATGTAAAGGAATTGAGGGTGTTGGAATAATTTTTCCGGATCCCAGAACATGAGATGTAGACCCATCTGCTAATGTAACTGTAGAATTAGAAGCATTTGACTGAAAGGAAGAAAACAGACTAGATTTATCTGTCTGTGATCTGTGGCACCAGAATCAATGACCCATTTAGAAGATGAGGACACAAGGCATGTGTTCATTTTACCTGAATCAGCGATGGCAGTAATAGAAGTGGATGAAGACTTTAGAGACTTCTGATATTGTGAGAACTTGACATACTCATCTGCAGATATTAGAATAGATTCAGAAACGTCATTAGTAGAGGCAGCATGGGCTGACTGGTTCAACTGAGTCTTGCGCTGTAACTTTCTACAATCTCTCTTCACATGTCCTGGCTTTTGACAATAATGACATACAACACCTCCAGAATCCCGTCCTCGAATACTCAGATTTCGATCATAGTTACTTGAGTTTTCCCCTTTATTGAGTTTTCCCATAGGAGCTGAATTTTCTGTGCGCAATACATTACTAAAAACTTCTTCCAAAGAGGATATCTTAAGGCTAGAAAGAATTTGAGATTTAGCAATCTCAAACTCAGAAGGAAGACAAGCCAAGAAGCTCATAACCGCCATCTTTTCTCTCTGAGCTCGCTGCACTTTCACACCAGTACTAAATGGAAGTAGCATATTAAGCTCTCCATGAGTCTTCTTAAAGTTCAT